GATAATGAAGGATATATACGGCATATACGTAATTTTTTGCATATTTACACACGTACACACACACGCGCGCGCGCGCATAGCACAGCACACACACACACATATATATATATATATTTATATTTTGTGACATTGAATCATGTAGAAAAAAAAAGTACTTTGCAGTCATAATATATAAAATTTATTGACTTTCTCGAATAAAAAAGAGGCGTGTGTATATACATATATATATATATATATATATACATATATAAAGTTATTAAAATACATAAAAATATTTTGCTTGCATATAAAAAGTTTTAGTAAAAAAGAAATATACACGATATCTAGATATTTCAATTAAGATTATATTCTTTGATAATATTTGCAGCTATAACCAATCTTTGTATTTCTGATGTACCTTCGTAAATTTCAGTAATACGAGCATCTCTATAATGACGTTCTGCTGGCATGTCAGTAACGTAACCCATGCCACCTAAAATTTGTATACATTGATGAGTGCAGAAAGTAGATGTTTCAGAAGCCGATAATTTTGCCATAGCAGCTTCCTAAACAGAAAGAAGAGAATTGGATTACATTTAAGCTTGATTCCTTTCTTGTTCTCTTACCTTTGTGTAAGGTTTGTTGTTATCCTTAAGTACAGCTGCTCGCCACGTTAATAATCTTGAACTTTCTAATTTTAGTGCCATATCAGCAATTTTTTGTTGAATTGCTTGTAACTTAATAATAGCATTGCCAAATGCTTGCCGTTTTGTTGCGTACTCAACTGCACAGTCCAAAGATGCTTGAGCTATACCTAAAGCTTGAGCAGCAATTCCTATTCTGCCAGCATCTGAAAATTGTGTAATTTAAATATTATATTTTTAGTTATTGCGTTTGTACGAATGTATGTTTATTTATTTCATACCTAAAGTCATCATTGCGATTTTAAAACCCATTCCTGGTTCTCCTAATATCTTTTCTTTTGGTAATTTACAATCATCGAACATTAATGAACAGGTACTGCTTCCACGTATACCTAATTTATCTTCTTTTTTACCAATAGAAAGACCTTCTGTAGCTTTATCAACTATGAATGCACTTATGCCTTTATGTTTTTTAGATTTATCTGTTGTAGCGAATAAAACAATTGCATCTGATTCATATGCATTCGTTATCCACGATTTTGTACCATTAATTATATAATTAGATCCATTTGATTTGGCAGTAGTAGAAGCAGCACCTGCGTCACTACCATTGCCTGGTTCACTGAGAGCAAAACATCCAATCTTATTGCCAGTTGTAAAGGGAGTAATATATTTTTCTTTTTGATCTTTACTGCCACATTTTTCTATAGGACCTAAATACAGAGAGTTATGTGCGCTCATTATGACACCAGCACTGGCACAACCTCTAGATATTTCTTCCATTGCAATGGCATAAGCCAAATAGTCTAACCCAGTTCCACCTACATTTTCAGGAACTGCTATACCCATTAAACCCAATTCACCCATTTTTTTTATTTGTTCTTTTGGATAAAGATGTTTCTTGTCTATTTCTTTAGCCAAAGGCTTTAATTCTCCTTCTGCAAAGTCTCTACAATGATATTTAGAATGTATGACATTATAGGAGAAAACAATACATATGTATTTTAAGATTATAACTTAAAATTACTATAGTAAGTCAGTTCAAAAACTCAATTATTTAAAAAGAAATAAAAAATATAAATAAATCTACAAAAGGATAGGTACTTGCATGTTTTGTGTAACATCTGATGAGTCTCCGACAGCATGGAAAGGGATGCAATGTTTCTAACAACATTATTATAAATGGAAATGGTTGTATTTCGTGTAACTGTTTCAGAAAATAAAAATTTATCATTAAATTTTTGTGTCACGTGTATACATGCATGATAATATTTTCAAAATAAAGACTTACTAAACCTTATTTTGTACATTATTGTCGAGTCTTCTTAAAGTAGCAATAATATGGATATTTCAATATTTTAATTATGCGACACAATTTTACAACAATAACATCATATTCGATATCTTTATTTATAATGTGGATACTAACAACTATATATATGCATATATATACGCCAGCTTTAAATTCATAAAGACAGATTGTCAGTCTTTTGTCAAAGATTAACTTAAGTTATGGAACAAAACTAGATATATCTGTTACGCGTTGTTAATGAAAATTTTTAACATTAATTTAAAAAACAATAAATATATTTTAATTGTATTATTCGTAAATAGAGAAACAATTTGAAAAAAAGCAAAGAAAATTAAAAGCGGAAATAACAAGAATAATTTGCGCTTTGAGAGAACAACTGGAGTCTTTCTTTGTTCTTTCTTTGTTCCAAATACTACTTTTTTTTTTAATTTATTTAAAATAGTAATTAATTTGATAACTACTAGTTTCTTATTTCTATGTAAATTCTTTTTTCTATTAATTTCTCATTTCTACATAGGTGAGATTCATTTGTACATTTACGTTATACGCTTGACGCTTTTCGGAATAACGAGTAACCTTTGAAACTGGCCATATTTTGCCGCGGTACTTTCAACGAGGGCAATAAACAATCAATATGTTCGCATGGATAATAGGAAAATGTGCGCATGTACAGACAGTATTCCTGTTCGATAATAACTGGTTTGTTTGTCCGGCTTCAGACTGTGAATTCTACAAATTTATTCAATAACGTACGAGAATTGTTATTGAACGAAAATTACAAAATGTCGAGTAACAAATGTGTTAAACAATTGCGCAAAAATTATGTCAAAGAACAGCAAGAAATGTCACATTCGGAAAAACTACGATTAATAGATGATGAGCTGAATGCATTTTACAAGTAAACCAATTTTCTTTTATTTATGACATTGCTCCTTGTTAATACTCTAAATTTTATTTCAAAAAATGACTTATTTATTGTACTTGTTAGCATTGATTCATATTGTTTAGATTGGTTTTTTAAAAATCAACCTCTTCTATAATAATTTATTATATATGATACATTATGATAGAAGTAACGTTGTTACACTGCTTTAATTAGTGATTATTGCAACTTGTATGATTTGTTTGCAGATATTGTCAACAGGCTGGTTTCACAGAAGAAGAAATGGATATTATTTGCCAACCATTGGTGGCTGCAATGAGACGTTCTTGGCTACAACTTGTTTTCCGTGGGACGCTTGTTCTAATTGTCCTTGGCACTTTAGCTTGTTTAGCAGCCCAACTTGATTTTGTTGGAACACATTTTACTGCAATTAGCCGTCTTCTGCTTATTAAAGTTCTACCAATTTGGAACTGGCAGCCTCTGTACTATGAAAATTGTATGATTAATAATCCCTTTTACAATGATTACATGATAACAGAAGAAGATTGTGTGGTACGGTAATCAATATTGATCCAGATATTCTTCTATATACTTCAAAAATATGTTATAAAATGTATTTCACAAAGTTTTCCTGTAAGAAAGTTAATGTTAATACATGAACAATACTTTACTAATCTTTCCAAAACATATATATTTGCAGACTTGTGAAGCTCTGGAAACTATTGATCGTTTGTCAGATGTGAGATACCGCAATCTTGTGGATAATTATTTAAGTAGGGATGCACCTGCAATTATTACAGATGCAATGGACTCTTGGGCAGTTATGAACACAGATTATTTCTGGTTTGATAATATCACTCATGTAAGTAGGAAAATCAAAGTAAAGAAG